AAGAATCTGACAATTATTGGACTTGAATAACTGTTTGCGTGCTTCAAGACGCACTCCCTTTCAGATCATGCATACCAAGGCAGAGATGATTGTATGATGAATTTCAACAGTCATGCAATCCCATCAGTATCCCTTTTTCTCCGTATAAAAGGTCCTAATAGAAAAGCCGGCGATAGACTGTTTTACCAAACATTCGGTTGCCTCAGTAGATAGCTATCGATGAAACAGTTCGACTTTCGATAACAGCATTCCTTCCGTGTTGGGGAATTTTGCTGAAACAGTTTCGTCTGTTTCTTTATCGAGGAATGTTAATCGAAAGAACACTGTGTACTTGGACTGAAATGTAAGCCTACATGTTTATAGGTTCAAAACAATACAATATAATAATTCAAAATATTCAGGTAAAAATACATATTGTACTGGGCAAGATTTCTTACCTGAGGANATAAGTTTGGGGATTTCCTCACTTAGTACCGCGTCCACATGGTCAATCATTTTGGTTCTCAGTGGTGGGAACGCGGAGAAATCTTTATCGCCCAACTGAGTCTGCATTTGAGCAATTTCGGGAAAATCACCCAATGGTATATGGTATTGTCGGGATATGCTCCCGAAAGTCTGATCCAATTTATCTATCAATTCTTGTTTCTTTTTCGATTTGCCCAATAAACTAGGCATTTCTTTCTTCAGGGTCCCAATAATCAGTGCATGAACCTGTGGATTCGGGAGTTGGGGTTGAAATAGTGGAAAGCAGCAAGAAGTATGGGGAGATGAGATCTTAAAAAACCACGAGAATGCATTTAGTATAATCCAGCAGACAATCCCCGAAGAGTGGGGAATTAACGATATCCCAAGGAGTGAAACCCACACCAAACCAAACATCATCAGCAATACCCGGTGCCTGTGATGAAATCGAATGGATTAATCCAAACACTGACCATCTAAATCCCCTAATAAATTTAAAAAAAGCTGCCCGCTTTCCAAGTAACATTCATCATACAACAGATCTGATTTTCGTTTGAAGATTGATCATTTTATTGTCGTGAGATCAACAAAATTGACTGAAAACGAAGCTTTTGAAATCGCAAAACACACGAACATCATGGCTAGGTAACCCATGGATATGGGATAATTCACAACATTGTGGATAAGAGGCATGTATGCCAAAGATACCAGACTCACTCAAAAATAGAAATAGGTAAATGGAACCTAGTTTAGCATGTTTATTCGATAATTAGACCAATCCATATTCACTCAAATAGTAGGAGAAGAGGCACAGTGATAGATAGTATGGACGAAATGAGGTGCAAAAATCCCCGTGTTACTTTTACATATTATCATTTTCATAATCCATCAAGACGGCGTAAAAAGGATGATGATAGAGGGTACAAGCGGAAAGATGGATGTGCACGATCGATCGTGTCCTTGAAATTTCAGAGGAATGTGACCTCAAGGGACGATCAGAAAATAGTGTGAAATAAGCTACAAGGTCAACAATCGCGGTATGATGTGCTACCCATTTCGACGATTGCGGGTTCTAAACAATGCTAACAGATCACATGACCAGAAATGTTATGGCATTGAGTTATGGCCAGTCCAAGTAAACTGGATTTTCAGTTCCGACGATCTATTATTGCGAAATTTTGTGGTGACCAATTTACGGAGAAATCGCAGTTATACGTTCAAGAATGAATCGCTCGCAAACCACAAGAATGATCAACAATAACCTATAAATGCGGGGCAGAAGCATTTTGAAACGACTGTTCGCTAAAAGCCCAAGTTCTTGCGTACATTCTACTGCGGTGCGTTTTAAAGCTGTAAGAACTGAAGCTTTTCAGTTTAGAAAACCGGACCAGGGAGATAAGAAGGAAGTGAAGCTGAAAAAATTTAGTCCACGTTAATCTAGTAAACATAACGCCAATCATAATAGTAATTCAACAGCGGGGTGTGTGCAGGATTAAATGCTTGCTTAAATAAATAAACATTACATGTCGGCACGTGACTAAGCGGGGAAAAACCGGAACGATGCTCTTGAAGTCCAAGCAGTTTGGGGTCAACAGCACTCTGTCTCTCTTTTTGTATGGCTGCTGAGGACAGTGGGATTGTCGCACTCAATATGAACAATCATATGTTGACCAGCTCTGGCTCTATTGTCTTTATTTGACTGCAGTTTGGCAAAATCTGGAAGTGCCTAAAGATGAAAGACTGGCTCTATCTCGTTCTGACAGTGAACTAACACGATAGTAACGTAAGTAGTTAAAATAAAGGTGCGGTTGACAGAAGAACAAAAAGTCATATTGATGAGAAAAGGTGATTACCAAATCAGTCAAAGATGGAATAAACGTCAGGTACATATCAAGAGGGTTCCAGTAGAAGAGGAGCTCTTACAACGAAGTCGAAATGGTATACAACAGGAAGAAAACTTATCAAATTCATCACAATCCAAGCAGATATAAAAGAGAAAATCCTCATCGACCGTAAATGTATGAAACCGGACAACCAATGACAAGAGAAAAAGGGACAAACGGTTGCGGTGTTTGTAGACAAAAGAATCTACATGTCATTGGTTAAAGCTAGGGTAGCCTCAGTGGGATTCGAACCCAAGCATGAACGCCGCCTCGTAGCTCAGTTGATAGAGCGTGCACTGTACAAAAGCGTAGGCTGCATCCATGCGTGGGTTCGAATCCCACCGAGGCTATGAACTTTTCACACTCGACATAAAAACTCCAAATCTGCCAAACAACAATTTGAACAAAGCTAGGCTATGTTGATGGACCGTTCAGAGCTCATCGAAGTCTGTTGTACCACGCGAAGTCTCTTTGCATCACCATTCAAGGATCGCATGTGTCGACATCTCTCGCTGCATTTAGACTGTCACAAAGTCAACCGAGCAGCAGCATTGCGTAATCCTACGTCATCGACGTCCATATCGCCTATGGATATTGGATATCTTATCGTTTAATGCTCGAAACTATAACTTAACCTGTTTTCGTTTTAACTAATAGTTTTTAGGCCCTTCGTGGTCTACAGACGCCATGATGAAAAACCCAGAGAAAGCGAATCAAGCTTTCAAAATCGTCCATTGGATTCTCTCAGGTTATTGTATTAATCAGTAGGCTTTATCCTGCTATGCGCAGTCGGAACATTCGGGATTTGTTTGTTTGATCCTCATTGTACAACCGAAAGCGTTTCGTCTGTCTTTTTGTCTCTCAGGGTGTCCCATCTCCCGACCCCCCTAGGTTGGAAATTTCACTCGAGTTACATATGACGAAGGAGTAGTCCATCCAAGTAAATGGGCCTTCACTTCGCTTGACCTACTGTCTTGCGGTTAGGTTGTAATCAATACTCAAGGCTTTCGTTAACAGCCCTAATCGTCCTCCTGTTTAAGGGTTGGATGATCCAGCAGTACCCGTCAATCAAACTCAAATGACTACACAAACTAAGAAGGATTACATACTGAATCGGTCGTCTCGCAGAATAATCAGGAACGCAAACGTTGTTTAATTTTTCGTCTTTTATCCACAACTCCCTCCCTTAGACTCGCCTCCTGATCCTAAACATTCCCAGACTTGGTTTTCATTCGAAGAATTTCGTTGCAAACAACGCTGTAAACATAACACCGTCGAAAGAACTGCAGGTTCTCAGGACTTGTAAACCACTGAGTATAGGGACATTGAACTTGAGAACTTTCATGCAGAAATTCTTGTGTGCATAATGAGATCACTAGCGGTTGATACATTTGGCATATTAGGCACTAGAATTCAAGATCCCAAGAGGGAAAGCCCAGATGGCTTACATTCCTAGTTTTTTCCTCGAGATACTTTCACCGTATTTAGAGGGACGATAAGACTCTGTCAGCAAGTCAATGCGGAATGTGCACTGAGCTGAACTACACAGTTGAAACAATCAGTGAAGTTGGCCTCAATGTGTTTCGATGTACGATTATGATGACGAAATAGTGGATTGGCTTTCCATCAAAAGTCGCTCATGTGCGATCCGGCTCCAGGACACAATCAGCGTCCGGAAGAAAAGTAACGCTTAGAGGGCTTTGCTCTGTACACGTGCCGAACAACCGCAGTCCCGAATTCTACGAAAAGCCCGTCGAAACTGATTTACCGGAGCCGGGGATTTTACAAATATGAGCTGGTAGGGGACTTGGTGGTGCAGACTGGAAAACGGAATGCACCAGAAGTCTGTCAAAGACCGTTGTACCATACCCTACCGGTGTACAGATAATGATGATAGTACTCTTCAGTTCTCTACAGACTGTCGCTGTCCAGTACCACCTTGCAGTTCGACGGTAATATGGTGTTTCAGTTCGTCAAGAAGGTGACTCAAATTGAACAGAAAACAGTAAGCTATTGTTGGCGTGATTCAGGACAAAACTACACGTCCTATTGGATCACCTACGTCTCATCACGATTTAGTTTTGAGACACTTCTCACTGCGACCCACTGGTCACCCACAAAAGAGCAAAAACAGTGGGTCCAGAGTCATCTGTCTGATTCAACTGTTTTTGCCCACTATGAGTTAGAGCTAAAGCAGAGGACCGACTCACACACTGTAAGTCTCACCTCAATCAATAAAATCTATTATTATTAGAAGTGACATTCTTCAAAGACCTACACTTTCGTACGCGATTACCTGATTGTGTATTGCCCTTAGAGGGCTTAGAAACTACAAACTGTGCAAAACATCCCTACAAATGATTTCAAAGCACAGTAAGCGTTTATGAGAACGTGGAAAAGATGAGTATGGTGAGTGCTTGTAGGACCCCCAATACAAATAATAAAACATAAGAACACGATCTCTCAGATTTCCGTCCACTGAGCGAGACTGCGTCTGGAACCTAATAGCCACTATGGATGACAAACTAATGCACTATCGGAATGAAATTTTGGTTTCATTACCCACTCTGATGCTGTTAATTTCATTTGCATTTAGGAGTACGGTAGTGCGAACTTGTTGATTTAAAACTTTAAATTTTACCGCTCATATCTCACTAATAGGAACGATCTCAGGCAAAATCGATGAAAGGTAAGAAAACCCCACCAAAGTATGCTGATAACTACCTTTTCCACGAGAGAAATTGAAATTTTACTATTTTGTCACAACCTCAATATAGCATGATATGATAAACGAATTGCCCGAACGAACCAAATTTAAAACTTGCGAAGATGATAAAAAAAGTGATTGAGATCGAAATTATTCAATGCCCAATGATACGACAATAGCCAAAAACTGTGGCTCTGTTGGGCATAAATAATCGGATGAGTTCAATGTAAATATCCCATCTGTTTTATGAACTGACCTTAGCCAGGCGCGCTCGACGAATAAGATCATTCAATTTTCGCATAGTTGCATTGGCTGGAAGGGTCTGGAGATCCTTGAACAAATCTTGAGCCTCTAATTCGAACAATCGTCGATTGTGTGCAAAATGTAATGGCTTATCCCAGAAAGAACCGATATGCACACGAACAACCTCCGGTGTGCCGAGAACTTTACCTAATCCCCACATGAGAGCGCCGTAGACACGCATCAACTGTTGTGAGTCCACAGAATCGGCCTTGTTTAGAACAATACGTATCTTGTCATCAAATCCCCGTAGGGCGACAATAACACGACGGAACTCATCTGATATGTCAAGTTTGTGTGCATCAAACAGCAAAATAATCCGATCACAAGCTTCCGCAAACCATCGCACAACCGCTGTGAAGTCGTATCCTCGGTCTACACGTTGTTTCTCTCCACTCAGAATACCGGGTGTGTCCACAATGGTAACGCTCTCCAACACCGGACTGTGAATCATGCTACATTGAAACCGATTTAAGAAGTGATTTCCGAAGCGACTGAGCGGACGGAACGGTTTTTGTGCGTCGACAACCAAAGCGTTTCCAGGGACAATTCCTTCTTCACCATCCATGACAACCATGAATCGATCTGTTGTCGGTTCCGGTCCAATACGCATTCCAGGAAAATCAGATCCAAGCAAATATCGAATGAAAGTAGTTTTACCAGTGGAGTACTGCCCTAGAAGTAAAATCATTGGTTTGGCGGTGAAGTCACCCGCATCCAGGGGTGGTGAATGAAAAGAGGAAAACAAGTAGGTGGTTTCCAACGGTTTGAGTCGCTTCTCATATAATTCTCGCAAGTTGCCCATCACAGAGTCACATTTCGTCTGAAGATCTTTGTTCTTGGAACTATGCATGCTTGTTCAAGTTAAGTGTATCAATCTGAAACAAACGCGAACAAAAACGTAGGGCAAAATGATTGATAAAAGACACCCCGAAAGCAGTCTGAATAAATGGGAAACACGTTCTGACATGTCAGAAATGTTGTGAAAAAATGTGACAAAGAACGTAGTGTATTTATATCATAACAGACAACATGCAGTGGCGATGAACCAGTTTTATCTATCTATCTATCTATCTATCTATCTATCTATCTATCTATCTATCTATCTATCTATCTATCTATCTATCTAT